CTCCATACACAGTGTCACAGCCACTTACAGAAGTGAATCACCGGGGTCTATGGTGCAGTAGTCAATATAGCCTATATATATATATATATATATATATATATAAGTAAGGAGTTCCGCTATCGCACACAGGAGACTTGAGTTAAATTCCCGAGTGGGGAGAATTTTTATCGAGTTTCTCAGTGTTTTTGTTGATGGTATTATGTCGTATCCCTCTAACCAAGGGTGGGCCCTGACAGGAAGGGTCGGAAGCTTGACTCCTAAATTATCTCAATTGTGTCGATGGGGGTGTAAAAAAAACTTCTACAAGTTTAAAAAAAAATGTATTTGAAGTGAATCATAGAGAAACAAGTAATTTCACAAAATTGACATTAAATTATTTATGAAGTCTGACACAACCAATTGTAGTTTAACTTAACAATTCAAACACATCTTGTCTTTTTGTGGTCAAGTCTTAGAGCACTTTGTGTAAAAAAAACTACTTTAAGTTTACGTAATATGTGAGGCAGCGTGGTGGAATCAGGCTCTCGTCAATTTTTGGGCATGTAGAGTTATTGGTATAATCTTAAAGGCTGTTCACTTGATTGTGTTTATTTTGATGAAAAAAATATCCATTTATCTTGAATACAAGTCGAAATATTTGAGAATGAAGGAGGTGGGGTCACCCGTTTTCAGAGATAAAATTAGGGAGAAAATAGCCGCCAAAGATTAGCTAATTCCTTAGCTTAAGAGTCCGTGGCAACTGAAATTTACATTTATTGTACCTTTAATCAGCGTTTTTCAGAAAAATTCACACCGAAATCAATTCTTTAACGGGCATTAAAGGTGTTGAGCCAAAAAACAAAACTTTGATAAAAATTCACGAACCTGCAAAAAATACAAGTTTCTTCACTTTGATTATTTTGACGAGAGCCTGATTCCACCACGCTGCCTCACATATATATACAGTTGCCCTCACACAGTATAGTCTTGGCTCATCAGAGGTGACTCAATCACTCAGGATATGGGTGGTGTCGCTAGCCTAGCGGTTAGGCTACTGGACCCGTAATCGTGAGATTTGTGGGTTCCGGGGTTTGAGCTGCAGTTCGGTCCGACGTTGTGTCCTTGGGAAAGGCACTTTACAGTACACGAATTTCCCATTTGGCTCGGTCCTTTCAGAGACGGACGTTAAACTCGGAGGACCTACCTCTTAAATCACCTAATAGTGTTGATAGGGGGTGCGTTAAACCTAGAAAGGGGGCTCTCGTGGCCTAGAGGTTAAGGTGTTCGCCTCTCATCCAAAGGTCCTGGGTTCGAATCCGGGTAGCGACCAACAAATTTTCTTCTCTAAATTTGTCTCCTTTCACCTCCTTTCCTACTCTATAGCAATGTTCTGTTGTCTGCTTTCGTCTCCTCTTTCTGCCCCCCACCCCTTCACCTACTTTGCCCCCTCCTCTGGGCTCCTGATTCTTTCTGCAGCCTTTCTACTGCTACTCATTGGCTTCTTCTTACTGCTGTCTTTCAGCCACACCCCTGATCTTCTGGTAGGAAAGATCTACACCTAGCCTTCTCGGACAAGGGCGAAAAATCTCGGAGGGCCCGTGTGCAAGCTGTGCACGTTAAAGATCCCTTGGTGGTCTAAAATCGATAAAAGTAGGCTTCGGCCGCCACCCGGGCAAAATTCAAAATTTCCTACCAACTGAAAAAGTTTAGTGTGTCCCGCGCGCTCATATGACCTTATGCAGTTGCGAGCGCCGTAAAACACTTACAAAAACCAAAAAACCAAAAACCTAGAACATTTCATAACTTTCCCTTGGTTTTTTTTAAAGGACACCAATCAGTCCTATTTATAAATATTAAATCAATAAATATATATCAATTACATATTATTATTGATCCTCATAGGAACACTTGGGTTACAATGGCAAACATAAAACATAATGTAAATACATAATCGTAAATATTTTATACCTCCATAATAAATACATATAATGCAAAACTATACAAGGCACAATCGACTGGTTGAGTTGATCATATCATCATCATCATCACCATGGCTGAGAAATAATAGAAACACCTCTCTGCAGGTGTACATGTTAACAAAAAAGGCAAAATATGTCTGTACAGTCAAAATTGTTGAGGAGAAGAGAAAACTAGTCAAAAGCGAAACTAGTGGACCTCCTGAGACGTTTTATTACATTTTGATTTTTAAAAAGGCACAGGGGTGGGGTGGGGGATAGGAAATGCTGTCTGAAATGGTCACCTGTCAAGGACAATCACCAATCCAAACGATAATAACTAATCTTTGGCGGCTATTTTCTCACTAATTTTACTTCTGAAAACAAGTGACCCCCCACCTTCTTCTTTCGCAAATGTCTCGACTTGTATTCAAGATAAATGGAGATTAATTTCATTGAAAGAAAGACAACTGAACAAGCTTTAAGATGATACCAATAACTCTACATGCCCAAAAATTGACGAGAGCCTAGTTTACTTTAAAAAATCTTCCATCTACCAACCCCACGCACCCTTTCTTTAGCCATGCACAACGTCAACATCCGCCCAGGGATCTGTGAAGGCATCATGCGTTTGTTTCGGATTAAGGTGATGGAGAAGACAACCTATTTCACCTCAACTGCCTCCGCAAACTGCTCAGAGTGAAGTGGCAGGACAAAGTCCCAGACACTGAAATCCTCGAGCAGACAGGTATGTCGAGCATCTTCACAATGCTCCGAAAGACACAACTCCTCTGGGCTGGCCATGTAGTCAGAACGCCAGACGAGCGTCTGCCAAAACGCATCCTATATGGAGAACTTCAGACTGGAGCACGCTCCCATGGACGTCAGAAGAAGCGGTTTAAAGACACCCTGAAGGCCTCTCTGAAAGACTTCGGCATTGACCACAACTCGTGGGAAACGACAGCCCAAAACCGTCGTGTAGCCTGGCGTGGAGCCATCAGCAAGGGAGCAGCAGCGTATAAATCACGGCGTCTGGAAACAGCGAAGAGCAAGCGCGCAACAAGAAAGTCCCGTGCAAGCAGTGCTCCCGCAATTCATTACCCTACAGCGCTACCTTGCCCTCACTGCCCAAGGACCTTCAAAGCAAAGATTGGCTTAATCAGCCACCTTAGGACCCACCCCACCCCCTGGATATGATGAAGAAGGTCTTCTTCCCTCAGGAAGGACGAACACCATGATGCAGATGAGCCCTCAAGAGAAAATGTGTGCCATTGTGTTTGCTGAAATGTCACTGAAACACGGAATCAAATATGACCCAACCAACGACGAAGTTGAAGGTTTTGAGGACTTCGGTGCAACTGGTCGTTCCAAACTTCATGTTGACCATGCTCTTGTATTCATGTTGCGAGATTTGTCCACAAATTGGAAACAACCAATCTCGTACGTGCAGTCCTGTAGTCCAACAAAATCAGCAATCCTCCAGTCAGTCCTACTGAACGTCATTCACAACATCAAACAAATAGGCCTCACTCCAAAAATAGTCATTTGTGACCAAGGGACAAACAATAGGTCAATGATGAAAAAGTTAGGGGTTACAACAGCTCAGCCTTTCTTCCATTTAGAAGGTCTCACAATTTTTGCCATGTTCGATCCCCCACATCTGATAAAGAACATTCGCAATAACTTAAACTTAAAGAGGAACGGGTTTCTTTTCAATGATCGGATCGTCTCTTGGCAGTTCATTGAAAAATTCTACGACATGGACTCTGCCCTCCCAATACGCATGGCATCCAAACTTACCAAGCGGCACATTATCTCCATGCCAGCACTTGCACATCTGCGTGTGAGTCTGGCAGTGCAGGTTCTCAGCCACACTATTTTTAATTATTAGTATAGGGTTTTACGGCGCTCGCAACTGCTAAGGTCATATGAGCACGCGAAACACAAGTTTTTTACTTTCGCAAAAGTTTGCTGCACGATTGGTTAACTTATTGATTCTAAAATGCTAAAATGTTAAAATATTAAAATTCAGTGTAAATATATTTGTGATTTAAAACAACTCTTATAAGCAACAATAAAAATCAGCCACACTGTCGCGGCGGGGATTTCAACAATGGTGTCTTTTGGAGCGTTGCCATGTGACGCAACACCGACGGCAGAGTTTGTTGAGCGATTTGATCAATTGTTCAACTGCTTCAACAGTGGATGCCTCAACAGTAAGAGCGCCATGGGACACACTATCACATCAAATTCCCGGCATGAAGCTATTTTGCGAGACACGCAAGTGTGGTTGGGCAACATTGTCTGCAAAAACAAAACGAAAACCCTACCCTGCCTTGAAGGATGGAAACTCTCCACCCACAGAGAGTCTGATATACAGCTTTGGCAACACCTGAAAGAGGACTGTGGTTTCAAATTCCTCACGACAAGCCGCCTGAATCAAGACCGTCTTGAGAATATGTTTTCGGTGATACGTGGCAAAGGTGGACACAGGGTCAACCCAGATCCAATGGAATTCCGTCTGGCATTTCGGCAGACAATAGTTGATGCTGTGCTTGTCACCGGAGACACTAAAAACTGTAAGGATGATCTAGATACCTAAAAACTGTACGGATGATCTAGATACCTTTCTCTTTAGTTTTGAAAATCTCGTATCGGAAGGGGGCTATAACTCTATTAGAAGTCGGCTACAGATGGATGTTCCAAAACCAATCAGGAAAATCCAGACAGTCAAAGTAGGCTACCTGAAGCACTAGGGATTTCAACAGCGGAGGACAACATTCTGGCTTACATTGGTGGCTATGTTGTTTCTAAATTGTACCAAAGTGTATGTCCCTTCTGCCAGAAGATGCTGACACAGGATAAAATGCCGGACAATGCTGCACACACTTTTCTGTGTGAAAATTATCACAACACGACCCAAACGACCGGCCTACACGCACCCTCTGGTGCCTTGCATCCAGTCCTGGCAGTGGCACAGACAATACTTCGGGAAAATGCTTCTGTACAACTGCACGTCTCTGGCCTAACCTAAGAGCAAGTCTCATTCGCAAGGTCATGTCATCGACTGAGGGGATTGCACTTCAGTGTGCAAGCTACAACCCTTGTGAGGTTCACTTCCTGGCCATAAACCTGTTTGTGAACATTAGACTTCATTTTCTCATCAGAACCACTAATCGAGAATATGCAGGGACCAATTCACAGAAGTCATCTGAAAGAAAAACTGCCACATTTCAGCATCAGTAGAGGAGATAAAAACTTGCAGCCCCAGTACTGAATGGATTTCTTTTATGCAGGTAAAGTTACTACTTTTGTTGCTGTGTTGTTCTGCTTGTAATTGCAACTAATGAATACTTTGAATCATGTCTAACGTGACCCAGTAGTTACGGGTCAGAGCCATAACCGGAACAATTGGACCAAGAAGGAAATATCGATCAGACTGACTTGGAAATCCCAAGGCCTCCCAAAAGAGCAAGATCTAGTGTAGAAGCCAACACAGGTAAAGGGACAGGCGAAGGGAAAGGAAAGAGTACTACTAATAGTAATACTAGATCTAGTACCTGAACTGTCTCTCTCGCCAGCTGATTGAGGAGGAAGATAGGGAGGCAGAGGCCAGTACTGCCGTGGAGAGGATGATGCTTTCGGGAATAAAAAAAGGACGTGGAAAATCTGGCATCCTTGCAGGAAAGAACAGAAGAACGTTCAATCAGATGTGCACTGGCACAATCAGTAGAGGGACCCTCGGCAACATTTTGGAGAGAGCAACGGAGCATCAATGGACATGTCCGGAGCGCAGGGATGTTGCTTCCTGAAACAATAAACGAGTACTGCTACAACTTCTACGTACGTCAGGACAAGGTGCTAGACCTAGTAGTGCTGGTAGGTCTGTCAATGAAAATGAATGGTCAGAGAATCAGAACATAAGGACGACGAACTGACGAACTCGTTCCAATTCTGCCCGGCCTTCACTGGCCAGAGAGAAACCAGGGTGACTTGATGAGACCTCCAGGCCTAGTGATAGTTTCAATGCCATTGTGGACGCTCGGGTAAAGGGTAAAATATATGAATACATAAATTCCTATGCTCAGGAGAAGATAAGGAAGAGCACTCCCCTGAAAAAGCATTCAAGATTGCAGGACTGGAAAGATGTTACCGCGACAGACGTCATCAAATTTATTTCAGTTCTCATCATGATGGGAATAGACAAACGCCCTGCAATCGAGGACTATTGGTCCAACTCCCCTGAATTGTTTTACTCCATTCTACCAGAGTGTTATGCCCAGCAAAAGGTTTCTACAAATTTACTCAACCAATTTGCATGCTGGGGAGCCAAACTCAGAAGGAAAAGAAAAGGTAGAACCCTTTTTATGAACTTGCTGGTAAAAAAGTTTCAGGCACATTTCTACCCATTTCAGTGTCTAAGTTCGGATGAAATGGTGGGGGGCTTCAAAGGCCACTGGATGTTCAAGCAATTCAATGCTATGAAACCAAAAAAATATCACATCAAATCATTTGGAATTTGTGATGCGGCGACCGGGTATGTCTACAATCTTTTGACGTACTTCGGCACTGATACCAGTTATAATCCTGACACTGATGTCAACTCTGGCCAAGCAATAAAGGTATTTGACCCACTCTTGACAGGTCTTGTGAAGAGACATCACATATTTGCAGATCATTATTATACGACCAGGGCACTCATTGATTCCCTCCTGCAGATAAAGAAGTTCTACTACACGGGTACTGTGAACATAAACCGTGTAGGATTCCCTTCGGAATTCAAAACAGTAAAACTGATCTTCAAAGAAACCAAGTTCTTCACCAATGAAGATTCTTCAATCGTGTCAGGAGTCGTGTTCCCTGACAAAAAAGCAAAACAACCTGTTGCTGTAGCGTCAAAACCATCATCCACTGAATTGATAAGCAAAAAGGATGTCGACAAACCAGTGATGATCGACGAATACAACACATGAACGGCTGTGATTTGTTGGACCAAATGGTCAACTACTATGGAGTGCACAACAGAAGGGGTAGGAAGTGGTGGCGTAAGTTGTTTCTGTGGGTGCTAGAAATAGCGCAATACAACGCGTACATTTTGTTTACCCTAACCCGACCCGAGAACACCAGAAAAATGCTGTTCAAGCAGTTCAAGCGTAGGTTGGTTCATGAACTCTGTGAGCAGGCTGCTGTTGAGTTACACAGCCAACCACAAGAAGAGCCCCATGTTCGTTGTGGTAGGCCATCTCAGGCCCATGCACTGGAGAGGATGCAGGGGATACATTTGCCTGTCCATGACTATAATAATAATAATAATATAATAAATTACACTTTTATTTGTCCCAGAAGGGCACTTTGTTTTACAATGGCAAACATACATACATAAATACATAATTATAAATACGTACATACATTTATACATACATGCATAAATACATACATAAATACACACTATTACACAAATACAGAACAGTTTACAAACAATGCCACTGTCGGTCGCCACTGTGCAGCGCCATGTAATTTGAGCTAGGGTTGTCGTGTCTTGCTCAAGGACACACTCCAGTGACCACCCATCTGATCCCCGTGTCACCGACACTTGCTTGACATTGCTTGAGTCAAAACTCACTACTCACTTAGCCACTGGAGCCCCCGAGTTAATGGAGACAGAAATTGTGCAGTGTGCAGCACATCTGAAAAACGAGCCCGCACACGCACATATATACTGTTCTTGGAGCAACCCAAAGACATATATATATATATATATATATCTCCATCCCAAAGAGTGTTCCTACAAGTCCCACACTGTTGTCCACCTATAAGACAGGTGGCATTTTATTGGTTGGGGTTTGGGACTGTGTAGAATGAATTTTGTGTGGATATTGAAAGAGTTGTATCTCAATCTCATGATGTGGGTATTTTTTTCTTTAATAACGCGACGTGATTATAAATTATAGTGCAAGAGGCATAACTTCAAAAATTCTCATTGGATTATGACAAAAATTGCTGGGAACACTTGGATTATGACGCTGAAACAGAAACATGGATTACCGGCTGAAAATACATAGTAGGACAGGACATTTTGATAATAAGGTATGTCTCTATGTGTCTTGTTGAGCGTGAAAAAATCCTGCACACGTATGATTTCTTGTACTGTTGTGACACATGTATATCACTCAAATATCACCTGCCATATACTTTGATTGTGTATCCTTTTCCCTTCAAATTGATATCATATGATACAGCTCTGTGTAGGTTACAATAATATTTTTCGATACATTTTTCATCACCCACCTTATTTCAAGAAATTTGCAAAGGGAAAAAACCCAGAAAAACAAAAAATAGAACAGTTAAAAGAGTTTTAAAAGGAGTTGAGTCAAAAACGAAAAATTCTATAAAAATTGCCAAACGGACAGAAATTTGCCAGTTCCTTCGACTATCATTTTGATGAGCGCCTGATTTCACCACGACACCTCAAATACATAGTTATATAATATACACAGACTTTATTTCACAAAAAGCCGTACACTAAATTACTGAAACCCTGAGAAAGAAAGGATTTAAAATCCCCGTTTTGTTCCTCAATGCAAGTTCCCATAATTAACAAATTTTCTGGGAAGTTCATAGAATCAGTTTTGTACCGTACATGTAAAGTCCTGAATGTGGGTCGATGTGTCTATCAATTTACAAACTTAACACACACATTACAATGATGTAGGCTACTACTACAAAAGCCTTCTCTACCATCAGATATTTTTTTTCAGTTTCCGAATAGGAATAGCCTATTTAGTACTACTGTGTAAGGGTACACATGATGACCAACTTCACATTTGTACACCTGTTTTCTCCTCATGTTTTCTTTTTTTGTGTCTCACCAATGTGCGATTATACGCAAATTCTGCTCCACAAATGTCGCACTTGCACGGAACTTCTCCTCTGTGTTTTCTCTTGTGACGCTGCATTGAGCGATTATTTGAAAAAGCTGCTCCACAAATTTCACATCGGTAAGGAGTTACGCCTTGGTGTATCTTTTTGTGATAACACAAGTACCTTTTACTTACAAACGCTGCACCACAAATATCACACTTAAAAGACTTTTCTACAGAGTGTGTTTGTTTGTGAGCGTAATAGGAGCTGTGAAGTGAAAATGCAGAACCACAAATTTCACACTTGAAAGGCCTCTCTCCTGTATGACTTCTTTTATGGCTGATTCGCCTGACACTGGTGAGGAAAGCAGCATCGCAAACATCACATTTGTACGGTTTTACCTCGGAGTGTATTTTTATGTGATGGAACAAAGCCACACTGGCGTTAAACGATACACCGCACACTTCACAGAGGAAAGGCTTTTCTCCAGAATGAATCTTTTCGTGTCTTTTTAATTTGTCCCTTCGTGGAAAAGTTGCACCACAAACTTCACATTTGAAAGGCCTTTCTCCTGAGTGTATTTTTCTGTGTTTTGATAGGCTTCTACTGTGTGGGAAACCTTTACCACAAACTTGACACTTGTATGGTTTTTCTCCCGTATGTACTCTTGAGTGATCCTTTAAATATTGTTGGAGTTTAAATGCTGTACCACAAATGTCACACTTGAAAGGTTTTTCGTCCGTATGTACTACTTGGTGTTTCTTTAAGCTCTCAGGAACAGTAAATGCTGCATCACAAATTTCACACTTGTAAGGTCTATCTCCAAAATGTCGTGCTCTTTTGTGAACTTTTACATCGTAACTCTTAGCAAAATCAGCGCCACAAATGTCACATTTGAAAGGTCTTTCTCCAGTGTGAATTCTTTTGTGTACCCTTAATGCGGTATTGCTTACAAAGCGTGAACCACAAACTTCACATTTGTAAGGTTTTTCTCCTGTGTGTCTTCTTCGGTGTTCCTTTAATATAGTCAGTGCCGTAAACCTTGAGCCACAAATGTCACACGCGTAAGGTTTCTCTCCTGAATGTACTCTTTTGTGTAGTGTTAATGAACTCTTGGCCGCAAATGCTGAACCACAAATTTCACACATGAAAGGCTTTTCTCCTGTATGTGCTCTTTTGTGAATAGTCAGGCTGTAATTTGAGGCATAATCTGAATTACAAACTTCACATTTGTACCTCTTTTTTTCTTTCTGCTTTTTTTTTCGACCACCAGTCTTGGGCCCACACAGGGATTCGTTGCTATCCCTTTGTTCACTTTGGGCCTCTGGGAGCACTTCTGAGGTAGTGACACTAGAAGTGACAGTACAGTTGACAGAACTGACCGTAGGCAGAGCACAAGAAACAGTTACTTCTAGATCTCCCACTCGTCCTTCTGTCATTCCTTCACAAGAAACAGTCACATCTCCCATTTGTCCTTCCATCATTCCTCCTGTCTCTGTGAAGTCTGGTTCTTCCCATTCTGAGGCTTCCTGTTTCACTTCCAGACTGAAATCATGAAAATCAAATGGAATCTTGATTTTCTCATACTCAGTATTTATTCTATGTTCTTCTTTAACTTTAACATCAGGTTTTATGTCTTCCTCAGCAAACAAGGAAATAGAAGGCTCATCTTTCACCACAATCTCCTCACTTCCATCATTCGATCCTACACTACTGCATGCAGATTTAGAAATAGCAACAAGTCCATCTTCAACAACAGTAGTAGGATTAGCATCATCATGATTTTGGTATTGGAAAGATCCACCCAGTTGTTCTTTTATCCTAGAACTGTAGTAGTTACCTGTATCCCCAGCATAAAGTCTTGCCTCCTCCATCTTGATACTTGTACTGCCTGATTTGATCACTGGTTCACTAAGAATAAACTGACTCCCGAGTCTACTGTCACTGAACTCAGTTACTCAGCCGTCAGCTCCATGTTTCACACACACTTTGTACAGAGAGGCCTACACACAGTTTAACTCGATTAACTGTTTTATTTAACGTAAAGGGATTTTCGACCTTATTTAACGAGTTACTCCAATTTAAAAATGATATCAAAGTACCAATAATAACTTCTAATGTTGACTAGATCTAACTCAATAGGCGTAAAAGTAGTAGATCTACATCAAGATCTATAATCTAGTCAGTCAATGTCTTGAGTCTTGGGCTTGAACTTAACCCTCGTCCTGCGGGGGCCAGGTTTATGTTGCTCAATAAGCCTATTTCGGCACCTGGCCTATGACATTCTGGTCCCGAATCAGTGTAGTGTAGACCCTTGCCCTGGATCAGCGCACACGCAATGCACATCATCTTACGTGAAATTCAGGTCCCGAGTCGGATCCCCATTCACGCAGGTCAAGTGTGAGAGCGTCAGTCTGCTTGAGTTTTGTGCGTTTCTTGTGGCCGTCTTCTAGAACCGTCTGCGTTGGTTCTTAATTGAGGCATCATATATATACGTCTCATTCAAAACACGCCAAGTTGGTAGCTCTAGATGTTCGTCCAATGAAATTACACCAACAGTACACACTGAGAGACCCCGGTGGCCTGCCCGGCACGTGCAACGTAATCAGTTGCTGATAAGATTCGCATCTCAGTGCAGACGCAGGACAAGAGTAAAGCCGAACGTACCTCTTTGACTTTCGCATTGCACATCAGTAGGGCTGTACCAATCAGAAGTGTTAACAATTTGATCACAAGAAAACTTTATTTCTTTTAATGCCCAAACACTGATGAAATATTTGAAGAAAATGCCACATATTCTATGTAAACACGAGGTGCTGCAGAAACAAGGCGGGTGACGCTTTCACTTTCGTGGCCATTTTGCTTGTTTGTTTGAAGTTGTTGTTTCCCTTTCATCAAAACAGTGTGTATAGATCTACAGCAGCTTTAGCAGTACAAGACAGGAAAACCGGATACGGGTGAGGGTCCAGAATTATATCTCCTTTTATGCAAATTTTTAATGTAATTTAAAAAAAAATTAAATTGTGAATTAATCATAATGATAAGCACATAATAGACAGACAGACAGACAGACTGACAGACAGTAAAGAAATAAGGACCTACTTGTTGCATATATATGTATTTCTCTCTCTCTCTCTGTTTCTTTCTCTCTCTCAATCTCTCTCTAGCTCTCTCTCTCTCTCTCTCTCTCTCTCTCTCTCTCTCTCT